TTTCTTTCTTTCTTTCTTTCTTTCTTTCTTTCTTTCTTTCTTTCTTTTTCTTTCTTTCCTTCTTTCTTTCTTTCTCTCTCTCTTCTTTCTTTCTTTCAAAGGGCGTGTGGCGGGGGGAAGCAAAGAGATTAGAACAGGTATATGGATGGACTGTTCTCAGAAAGGAAGTAATGGAGGAGGCCTAGCATTGTACTCTCTTTTCAGTAGAAACTGTAATATGCAGTCCACTTTTCTCTAATTTACACATATGGTTCAGCTCCCAGGTGAGATTTACCAAATTGTGTTGCTGTTGTATACCGTAGAGTTGGAACCGACCCATAGCTGGTGGGTTTTCAGAGGCAATTAATCGCATGGGAGGAGATTGCCAACCCTTCTTCCCTGAGCAGCTAGGTCATAGATTCAAAATGCGTGCCCAAATTGTACACATACCAAATTACCAAAGGAAGGTAGTAATCTGCATCCCTTAATTGTGTGACTGATGAGGCATTGGTGGCATAGTGGTTAGGCGCCTAGCTGCTATCCAATCACATTCTGTAGTCAGGAGGAGAGAAGTGGCAACCTGTCTCCTGGCAGATTCCGTTTTAGAAACTATGATGGCAGTTCCACTGTCTTATAAAGCCACTATGAGTTGGAATGACTCCACAGCTACGAGTTTACTTAGCGTTTTGATATGAAACTGCTAATCATAACTGTTAGGTTAGGCTAGGTTAGTGGACTTAAAGAAGAAATCAGAGAGAACGAGAGAAAGCTTAATGTAGCTTTATTAAAGGGGGCGGTGTGTGGAAGGGGAGCTCCGGGGTGAGTTCCTCATCCTGGAGAGGCAGAATTGGAAGTCACACTGTGAACTTCCTGGGGAGGATTTTTATAAACAGAGTCTTTAGGGAGGGACATTCCATTCTGATTTAAGAGCCACCTGATAGCTTAGCCAGGCAGGCAAGGTCATTTGCCTTCTTATCTGAAGCAGGCAAGGCTATCAACATTTGAGTTCTGAATTCTTCATTCTTCTCTTTGGCCCTCTTTTCCCAGACTAACATCTTAGACTCTTTTTAGTGATAAAACAGGGCAACGTATCTTTCTTTGGGCTACTTCCTGCTGAACAGGGGCGATGATCTGGGAGTTTAGAGCCTGGAGTGAGTCAGTCTGGGATTAGTGGCCAGGGGAGAATTAATGTGGTCATCTTCTTGATCCTGTGAAGTAAAAACTTGAAAAGACATGGAGTGATTAATAACAGTATGCTTATGATTACTATTGGTCTTAGAGAAGGAAAATTTAAGTTAGAGATGAGTTTTTTAGTTAATTTGGGAGAAGGCTTGTGATTGAATTCTGTGTAGAGTCTTATTACATCAAAAGCGTTGTCCTGGTTTAGCTACAGTGTGCTTGTTTATGCTGGCATTGTGTATACAGTTTTCATGTTTCACAGCAGAGGCTGTTAGATGCAAGTGGGCTTAGTGTTCTTATCAGGCTTTGGCTTTCAGAAGGGAATGTGTTCTTGAGTGGTAGAACACTCAGTTTGGGCTGATGGAATGGCTTGAGGTGTTTTGGTGGAGTGTGGCTTAGAGAAATTCATTGGTACTGCTGCTAGCAAAGGTCGTTGTAAAGAGACACACAGTTAACAATGAGAAAGGTTGGTTGCCATTTGACTTTGGTTAAGGAATAGTAAGGTGCAGGTACCCTGGATAATTTAGAACCAAGTTGGAGCCTGCAAAGTTTGTGGCTCTCCAGAGGCTTGTTGTATCATTGTCTGCTTAACTTGGAGAATGTTACTGGAGACTTCAACTTGGGTATTGGCATTTAGAGCATAGGAAATTTACTTAGTGAGGGGAACATGTTTGACTTGAAAAAGGTGGTGTTAATGGGGGTCACCCATGACTTTAATAGCTGTGGAAGTGGTTAGGATGACTGCACAGGGCCTGCTTCAGTGTGGTAGGAGAGGCTTGGGTGCCTGTTGTTTGATGAGAATGGTGTTTCTGATGTGACTTTAGTGGCTTGGTTCAAAACTTTAGACGAGAGTTTGCGTATACAGTGATGTGAGTGTTTTTCAGAGTAATTGTTTAAGGAAGGAGAGTTAAGGCACAATGCCAAAAGAAGGGGCTTGGTGAGCAAGTTATGGTTTAGCAGAAGTAGTTGGCTGTACATCAGTTGGAAGGAATTTAGAAAGGAAGGTGAATCCCCACCATATGTTAGGTTAGGCTAGGTTAGTGGACTTAAAGAAGAGATCAGAGAGAACGAGAGAAAGCTTAATGCAGCTTTATTAAAGGGGGGTGGGGCGGAAGGGGAGCTCCCGGGTGAGTTCCTCATCCTGGATAGGCAGGATGGGAAGTCACACTGTGAACTCCTGGGGAGGATTTTTATAAAGAGTCTTTAGGGAGGGACATTCCATTCTGATTTAAGAGCCACCTGCTAGCTTAGCCAGGCAGGCAAGGTCATTTGCTTCTTATCTCAAGCAGGCAAGGCCATCAACATTTGAGTTATGAATTCTTCATTCTTCTCTTTGGCCCTCTTTGCCCAGACTAACAATAACACTTTCCTTTGAAGAGCTGTTGCGCTATTAAAGGGAGATCAAAATCTATAAAAAGCCGCGCATAGTAAAATGATCAGCTAATGCTTAACAAACAAATGAACCAAGGTAGGAATTTCATCACAAAGTTATTTCTGTAACTACCCACTTTTCTTTAGTATCTGTCCTAGCCCACTCTAGGATTTCCATATAAATGACCGAGTTGAGCAAAAAATCCTAGCAGTGGTGACCTCTCCCTTCGCCCGCACCCCCAATTAAACTCTGAGTACATTCAGGTTACTCGGCAGCAGTCTATTTCAGAACCTCCATGGTACTTTCATATTGTGGCTGGCTACTTACGATGCAAATGGTTCATTTTTATAACCACGGCCAAATTAAAAGTTAAGGTTGCTATTAAAAGTCTCAACCGCCAGAGCAGAGCGAGTAGGTTGCTTAGTTTTATAGATTAAAGAGCCCGCCTCCTCTCAACGAGCAAGCCTATTAGAATCCTTCCAGTGATGAGGGGCAGCTCCCTAAGAGCCAATGTGTTCCGCTGCCTAAAAGGAACCCGCCCAACTTTGTGTCGTCATTTGATCGCTTAAAAGATACAACTAGGAGATACGCTTCTTAGTAGCGAGCTCTGTTGCCGGTGTTTGCGTTGGAATGTGACTGAGGCCCGACCTTAAAGGGGAGGGAACAGAGAGAGGCCCCTGTACTCCTGAGACCTTTAATAAGGCGCCGTTGTGCCTGCCCCTTTAAGGGCGGGGCGCCGGGCGACTGAATCTGAGCCCCAAATTACCCAGAGTTTCCGTCGAAGGCTCAGAGGAAAGGCTCCTTGGCTGGGTCCGGGTGTTTGGCGGCGGCGGCTTCATCCCCGCTCGTCCTCCCCGGGCCCAGAGACGCTCCTGCCTCAGTCATGCGGAGCAGAGTATGGAAGCAGCTGACTACGAGGTGCTATCTGTGCGCGAGCAGCTATTCCACGAGCGGGTCCGCGAGTGCATTGTGAGTTGGGGTGCCAGGCTGGAGGGAGTAGGACAGAAACATGGTGTTTGGGGAACGAAGTTTATTTAGGGCGGAGCGGACTACTTGGACTCAGAACACCGTCAGCCTCTGCTCGAACCTGGGACGAGCAGTGACCGACAGACCCCTGGAGTCTTGTGGGGAGCTCGGGGTCGGATCCCTGCGCCATAAACAAAGCCGGTCCATTTCCGTTCCTCCCCTCCGCACGCCCCTCCCCCTCCCGGCACCCCTTTCTTTGGTGTTCCTGGGCGGGAGCCTCACTGCTTCTGAGTCGGGTTATCGCAATCACTTATATCTGGTGAGCCCGCATTTCTGAGAGTCTGGTCGGGATGGATTTTATTTACATTTTCTCTCTCAGACTCAGTTGAGGGCAAACTCAGCTGATGTTTGGTGAAAAGGGAGGTATTGTCACTGAGCTGGATTCCTTGTAGAATATAGGTGTGGAGGGTGACAGATAAAGAAGTTTTCAGAATAAAGAAGTCTTGTTGGAGTGGATTGTAATATGTAGAAATGGGGTATACCTTGTTGATGTTCCTGGAAACCCTTGCTAAACTGGTTGCCCCGTCATTCAGGGGTTTCTTCTTTCTCTGATTGGTGTCCTCCTCCTCCTCCTGCTCTCTAGAGGGCACCTCCTTGCTGTTTGTTCACTGTGACTCCTCACTTCTGGGCCCCAGCGCCCACTGAATTCTCATCTCTTCCGCCAAGGAGCCCTTCCCTTGATTAATTAATCAATAGATAACCTTAATAGAAAGAAAAATGGTGTGAAAAACAGACATGTTAATTAGTAAAGTGACCCTCTGCTAGGCTCAAACTTCTTTTTCTCAAACTGGGCTCTGCTCTCCAGGCAGTCTCTCAGATTGGAGGGAGGGTAAAGTGATCTAGTGCATTGCTAGATCTTACCTTGACTGAGGACTGGAAAGTACAGAATATATCAGGCCATGTGTGAGAATACAGATGAGGCCTGTTCTCAGGAAGGCTTCCTTGTATACTCCTTGGCAGATTGTCCCACATGGAGGGCTGGGCAGCACTGTGCAGACATACCTAGGCCTTGAGATAATGTAAGACTAGAGGCGTACATTCCTAGAGAACAGGGAGGAGTGAGACCTTGGACAGAGAAGCAGTCCCCCATGTGTCTCCCCCAGCCTTCAGTCCTGTTAGCTAAAAGCATTAGTGCTATCAGTGCAGCTGGAAGGCTTCTGGTGCCTCCCCCATCTGGCTTCCATCCCTTCCTCTGGAGAACAGCCTTGTCTCCTCTGGAAATGCTGGAACTGCGTGGAACTCCAACCTGACCTTTTGAGCCCTCCCACCTTCCTGGCTATTAATGCAAGCTCAAGGCAGAGCCCTGGGCTGTAAAAATCTTACAGCTACAATCCCAGCTGCTTCTTCCTACTCTGTTTCCCTGTTGTCAAAAGCTCAAACTTTGTCTCAGACCCATGACTCTTCTGCCTTCTTCCCTGCTTGTGTGGATAACTGTGTTCAGATTCTTTCTAATGTCAAGAGGATCTGTAAGTCTCAGCGTGCCTTCTTGGCCTTCCTTAAACACCAGATCATCTCTTCTTGAGCCTCTTTGGCACAGAGCGTGGATCTAAACAGACCAGTGTGTTAACTTGCACTAGAGTAGTGATACATACATAACGCAGATTAACCCCGCCAAAATCTGCTGTAACTGTTAGAGGTCTATTCACTGGTACATAGACTAACAGCCCTTTGAGTTCTGGCTTCAGAATTACAAGGCCACCTGAGATAGGGCCTGAGATTAAGCCTATTCTTAGGGGCAGAGGATTAAATGAGGCTTTCATTTGACCCAGAGGAGACCTGATTCTTCAGGATCCATAAATAAGCACAGAATAGAAATTCTGACTTGGGCTAGGAACATCATGATTCAATGTCTACTTATCCCTTTCTGGAACATGGGTCAAGGATAGCTGGGGGAGAAGGAGGGAGTACCAGGACAATGTAGACATTTCCTTCCAACCCTCAAAACTGCTTCTTTTTCCAGTAATGTGCTCAGAGTAATTAGTTCTGCTTCCAATTTCAGGTCTGTGTGCATGTATATCTTTGTAGGGTTTGTTTGTTTTTTTTTTTCCTCTGGGTGAAACTGTTTTTGCCAGGAAAACCCTTGTAGGCCTGGGCATGATGCTGTTTCCATGTATTAGGTACATAGATGCCTTTGTCTGCTTCTTAGAGTTAGCCGAGGTCCTAACTAGAAATACTGGGGCAAAAAATGGAACACTTGAAAGTATAGAGCCTTCTTTGGGGGAAATAAGCCCATGGAATTAACAGTGAGACCCTTGGGACTGTGGATTGTGCTGGGAATTAGTGCTTCTCATCCCTGCTCACACTCTGCCACAGATATCTACACTTCTGTTTGCAACACTCTACATCTTCTGCCACATCGCCCTGACTCGCTTCAAGAAGCCTGCTGAGTTCACAACAGGTACCTGCGACTTCCCTCTCCTCTGCCAGCATTCTAGTTGCTATGGGGCCGGCCTCGGGGAATAGACCTAAGGTACCTACTGGGAACATAAAAGTGACTGCTGGTCTGTTCTGGAGCCTTTGACTCTTGAACCTCCCTTTCTCCACAGGCAGGGGCAGGATTTAATGGAAGGTCTAGTAGAATTTGTCAGTATGTCACTGATAAAATCTCTGGGCAAGTTCTAGAATTTCTCTGACCCAAAGAGTCATTCTCTAAAAAATGAACATAACATAGTTTCCCTGTCCATTGCCATTATGTGAACCAAATGAATTGGTTACTGTGGAAACCATTAATGAACCTGAAATGAAGAACTACAGGGTAAATATCACCATGGAGCTTTCCTTCTTGTAGATGTTGTGCAATTGGAGGGAGAACACTTGCCCCAGGTCCTAGCCTAAGCCTGTTCAGACCATCCTGTCTTGGTCCAAGTATCAGAGGTCCTGTCCTGTCCGCAGCCTTTTCCTTTAGGATATCGTCATGACTCTCTACCCAAGAAGGCAGCTCCCCCTCACTGTAACCTTTTCTGGGGATTTTACATGAATTTTCCCTCCCTCTTACTCCTGCTCCACATCTCTCTTCCCTTTACTCAGCCACTGCTATAACTAACCTCACAGACCAGTTGATCATTTATTTTGAACTTACAAAGAGGATCTTGTACTGTAAGAAATTAAGGGGAAGAGGGAGAATTTCTGAACCCATGTTCTCTCCAGCTAGGGCACTTATCTTTAATCTGCCACCTTAGCCAGAGTTTAGGTTGTGGACTCAGTGTACATTTCCCAGAGCCTCCTATTCCTATTCAGTCCTACCTCTGTGGGCCAGGTTCTCCTTTCAGTGGTGGGGAGAGGGCAACAGTACACGAAACAGCACAGTAAACTCCTAGAACTACTCACTGATGTCTGCTTCTTCCCTGTGCCTCTCTCTTGTAGTGGATGACGAAGATGCTACTGTCAATAAGATTGCGTAAGTGCCACTACCTTAGCATCTGGGGACCATTGGCCTTCAGGAAATGGGATCTAGGGATACCCCTGCAGCTAAGGAAGAGGGGAGAAAAAGAGTTCCACACAGCAAAGAGTGAACTTCTGCTTCCACCCCATTTCTTGCTTCATCTTTTATGCCAAAGTGGGGACGCTCAGAAAAGCTGTTGTTCCTGTCTCCCTGGTTAGGCTAGAAGTGTCTGGGAGCCTCATGGGCAAGAAATGTCAGCCGGTGCCTGAGTCACTGGAAATGGATCCAATTTGACTCTATCTCCCAACAGCCAATGGAGAAGGGAGTGAGAGTGCAGAGTGATGGGGCTGGAGAAGGTGGAAACTCCAATTTAAGAACGTCCTTGGTTCTGAGAGGAAGGCCCACCCTTTGGGCTACAGATGTTAACTCACATGTGCAGAGATCAGAAGTAAATACCGATTAGAAGACAGACCCTCCTCTTGCTTCTGTGGACCAACTACATAAAGATCTCACTTTTTAGTTTATGCAGCCAAAGAAGCTGGATTTTGGCTTCCCCTGTGTCTTGCCCTATTACCTTCAGGCAGGCATAGTCAAATGTGGTGGCCCTGGGTTTTAGCCACCGAAAGGAGAGAAGCTTAGAAAGTCTTTGCCTTAAGGGATGATAAGCCAGCCCCTCATCTTTGGCATAATGACTGGTACACCCCACAGGCATGTGTAGGAGGACCAAATTCCTGGGGACAACCTGGGCAAGTGACATGGCAGATGCTCAGATTCCTATTCCAATAAATGCCAGAGGTTTTACCCATCCCACATTCCAAGGCTTCTCTGGAAGGAAAGGAAGGGAAGACAATGGCTAGAACTGCCAACCAGGCAACTCCTTTCCTAGGTCTGTCTACAGTACATAGGCGATATTGGAAGTGATTTCAGTTGCTTGGGTGCAACCTAAGTATCTGAGCTAACGAAGGGTATTGACTATTCCTCTCTCTGCCCAGGCTTGAACTGTGCACCTTTACCTTGGCAGTTGCCCTGGGAGCTGTCCTGCTCCTGCCCTTCTCCATCCTTAGCAACGAAGTACTCCTCTCACTGCCTCAGAACTACTATATCCAGTGGCTAAACGGTTCCCTCATCCATGGTGCGTGTCTCCTGGTTGTATGTTGGGGTAGGGATAGGGAGTAGATGGAGTCAGGCAGACACATCCTTGGCCTAATCAACTGTGTATCATCCTACCCCCATCTCTCTCAACACAGAGTCAGATGCCAGGGAGTTGGGCCTCTCATGAACCAATTTACCAGCCACCTGTACTTTCTCTTTTCCTCTAGGCCTCTGGAACCTTGTTTTTCTATTCTCGAACCTGTCCCTCATCTTCCTCATGCCCTTCGCATACTTTTTCACAGAGTCTGAGGGCTTCGCTGGCTCCAGAAAGGTGAGTAGGCTATATAGCAATCAGAATTTAGTCAGGAATGAAATTTCACTCAAATGGTGCTTCTAGGGTGGGGGGACTTAATTAAAAATATTTTCAGGCAAGCTCTGGTGGCCTAGTGGCAAGAAGCTGCTCTGCAATTCCCAGAGGTATGCGGTTCGAATTCACCAGATGCTCTGTTGTAGAAGAAGGGACAATCTCCTCCTGTACCAGTCAGATCCAATTTGACAGTACACACGCAAAAGAAAGAAAGAATGAATGAATGAATGAATGAATGAATAAATAAATATTTTGAATGAAGAAACTGTTGGTAGATGTTTAGTCAGGAGTTGAGGGAGCAAGGAATTCAGAATACAAGTAATGGTAACAGGAAGTTATTACCACTTCTAGCTTGAGGGGGACAGGTAGTTTCTGGAACTACCTGTTTCTACCTTTTATTCTTCTTGGGTCTTCCTCATGGCCAAACTGAACGAGTGATGCAGACCTCAGGGGCCAAACCTTGCAAGGAAGATGAGGATAAATAATAGATCCAGGAGGGGAGATACAAATGAAGAACACCTGGAATGACCCAGATTGAAAAGTAGAGGACAGAGGGACTGACCTCTGCTCTCATGTATTGTCTACTCCTGTAGGGTGTTCTGGGCCGTGTCTACGAGACCGTGGTGATGTTGGTGCTCCTCACCCTGCTGGTACTGGGCATGGTCTGGGTGGCGTCAGCCATTGTGGACAAGACGACCAGCAGGGAGTCACTCTATGGTAAGGAGTCTGGCTTCCTCCCCACTCTTCAAGATGAATGTCTCTTCTGCCTAAAGTGACTATCTAGGTGGACAAGGTTAAGGCTAAAATTTTAAGCTGGTGTTCAATTTCAGCTTGCAGAAGTGTTTTATTGGGCATCTGCAGTGATTAAAGGACATATGTGAATCCATTTCCAACATTTTTTTTAAATTTTATTATTTTTTTGTGTATATCTTCAAATTGTATCTCACTGGTACAGGAGGAGATTGCCACTCCTGCTCCAGCAGAGCATCTGAGGGATTTGAACCGCATACCTCTGGGATTGCAGTGCAGCTTCTTGCCACTAGGCCACCAGAGTGTCCCCATTTCCAACATTTTTTGATAGATTTCACAGTGGCTTGAAGATTTCTGAGCTTGCTTGATAAGGAAGAGGATCTAACTGACCACACTAGTCTATGGTAACTGGAGCTAAAGGAGTCATCTCCTTTAAATAGGGTTTAGGATCCTCACTGTTCCCTCCTGCTGACACTACACCATCTTTCCTGATAGACAGTATTTGCCACTCCCTGTAGGTTTTGAGTTGCATCTTTGCCTTATTAAGCAGGAGAGGAAAGACAAGCTGACTTTCTTCTTCTTCCTTTATGTGCAGACTTCTGGGAGTACTACCTTCCCTACCTCTACTCTTGCATTTCTTTCCTTGGAGTCCTGCTGCTCCTGGGTGAGTGAGTGGAGCTAGGAGAATGGATGAGGGCTTTGAAAAGAGCAACCAGGGGTGGATGGTAAAGATAGAGGGCAAGGAAAGGGGTTAGGAAAAGAGGGAAAGGTCTGGTTGGTAACTGGCTTCTGTCCCCACAGTGTGTACTCCACTAGGTCTTGCCCGCATGTTCTCAGTCACCGGGAAGCTGTTGGTCAAGCCTCGGGTATGTAGTGTTCCTTGTCCCTTAATTCTACAGGACAAGCTTCCTATAAAGCTGGAGCCAAACAGTGAAGCAGGTGGTGTTTTGTGCTTTGTGAGTCAAGCCTTCAGCTTCAGATCCACTCAAGCCCTGGGCCCATCTCATGTTCCCTGAAAAACCTAGTCTATTGAAAGCCCATGTGTGGCCTCTCTGTGGACAGTTATATTTTAAATTTTAGAGAAAAAGCATTAAAGGAATTCAAAGTTTGACTATTGAGGTATTCTAGGGGGTCCAGAGCAGTGTCACTATTTATCCATCTTTCACCTCTGAGTGAGTAGAAAAAGGGCACCTTTTCCTCCATCAGCTGGAAAATTAGAATAATAAACATGCAAATCTGTGATGTCTTTTATGTGCACTCTGCCTCCTGGAGTTGGGTATTGCACGGCTTGCAAAAGGCCATAGCGTTTGTTGGCTCCTGTATCCTTCACTCCCATCATCTGAAGCTGGTCACCAGATACAAGGCAGTTGAGAAGGACTGGATGAAGGAGCTGGCCACAGAGTGATGGATGAGAGTTAGAGGAAAGGCTGGGACTGTGGAGTCCTGGGTTGAACAGAGTTTAGGATCAGGAAGCAATCTTTCACCCTTGCCCTTTGTCCCCAGCTTCTAGAAGACCTGGAGGAGCAGCTATACTGCTCAGCCTTTGAAGAGGCAGCTCTGACCCGCAGGATCTGCAGTGAGTAGCAGTTCTCCTCAGCTGGGGTTGAAGGCCTACCCTGACCAGAAACTACAAGACTAGGGGGAAATACTATGTTCTTTTATCACAGACCCTACTTCCTGCTGGCTGCCTTTGGACATGGAGCTGCTGCACAGACAGGTCCTGGCTCTGCAAACCCAGAGGGTCCTACTGGGTATGTGAATTGGTTGAGATTGGGATCAATGAGAGTAGCTCATTAGTTCCAGCAACCGTTGCTGACAGCCTCCTATTCCTGCACAGAGAAGCGGCAGAAGGCTTCAGCCTGGCAACGGAACCTGGGCTACCCATTGGCCATGCTGTGCTTGCTGGTGCTGACGGTATGTCCACCAGACTTGGTGTGGGTGAGGAACAGGCTCAAAATACTTTGGATCTACTCACTGAGGAAGGAGATAACAGAGATTTGCTTATCATCAATAACAGTAGTTGCTTTTCACTGAATGTTTCTCTGTGGAGAATCACTGCTCTATGCTGAGCACGTGAGTCTACAGATGAAGAAACTGAAGCTCAAATAAGTAGCTATCTTAGGATTACAAGGTTGGTACAGTTAGTTGTTTGCCCTTAGATGAGCATGAGGTTGAAATCTAGCCCATCACCTCTTTCCATGTCCTGGACATCCACATTGATCTTGTTAGCTTGAAAGAAGAGATTCCTTTTCCTTTTGTTCCTGTTGACTGGCTACAATACTTCCACCTCAAGGGGTCATCTTTTATAATACCCTCAAATGTACTCTTACTTGCAGCAGCATTGAGGAGGTTATCATGAAAATATAGAACCATACATAGTCTGTATTCTTGCCATTGAGCTTAGTTCACCTGTGGGAAATGGCAGAGTGTACAGTCCATGACCTTGCTTCACACAGGGCCTGTCTGTGCTCATTGTGGCCATCCACATTCTGGAGCTGCTCATTGATGACACCGCCATGCCCAGGGGCATGCAGGTACTGGCATTCTTCCCATCATGACTCTCTCCTGGGCTTAGGTCAATATATATATATTGGCTGAAACAAGTGATCAGAGAAAAGACTGGGTGGTGTTGAGTGGTACTGATGGTGGAGATTGTTCCACACTGATTTGCCTCCATCCCTCAGGGTGCCTCCCTGGGCCAGGTGTCCTTCTCCAAGCTGGGCTCCTTTGGTGCTGTCATTCAAGTTGTACTCATTTTGTATCCTTTTGAAAACCCACCATTGCCTTTTCTCTCCAAACCTGACTCCTTTGTTACTTTGGGTAGATATTTGGTGGTAGTGGTGGAGATGGGATAATCTTCATTAACATTAGTTAGGTTCAGAAAGAAGGAACTTGATTTTGAAAGAAAGACTAGGCAGGTGAAGTCTGTTCTTTTTAAAATGAGATGTTGATCCTTGTGAGCTGGCCAGTTCTTCCTTAATCCAGTGGCAGTTATCTGATGGTATCCTCGGTTGTGGGCTTCTACAGCTCACCACTGTTTCGGAGTCTATGGCCCAGATGGCACGACACAGCCATGACCCAGGTAGCTATGAGGGGAGGCCGTCTCTCTAAGGACTTGAGTGGACGCTAGGTTCTGGCAACTGTGCTACCTTCATCTTCCCCTTTCCACCTCCCATCCAGATAATTGGAAACTGTGTCTGTCTCCTGGTTCTAAGCTCAGCACTTCCTGTGTTCTCTCGAACCCTGGGTAAGTAGCAAAAGAAGCCACGGGAATTGGGATTTTTGTGGACATATGAGTGGTAGGAAGGAATTATGTGCACATTTTGTCTCTTGAATTCCCATAAGAAACCATGAGGAGGTATTATCTTGAATTGTATAGATGGAGAAACTGAGGCTCTTAGGTCCTCATACTGAGCTCCACAGTAGTGTTGATGCAAAACTCCTCCTTTTTCCATTTTCCATACTCCACTGGTTCCCTATTTACTTATTTTGTGTGTACCACTTTTCCTCAAATCTTCCTTTGAAGTGGATCATCAATAAAAAGTTCTCATTTTGAGGAGGAGAAAGAGAGAAGCTAATTGAGTTACCTTAACTATTGAGTTATCGCAAAGCTGATTTGAGGCAGTCAGATAAGAATCCTTGTCTCCTGAGCCGCAGCCACGGCTTTTCTCCCAAATTAGAGAATATATATGTAGTTCTTTTCCCCCTATCTTAGAGCTGTAATCTAAAAGTATCTATTAAAATTAAGAAATGTAAACTGGTTACCCCACAGTAGTATGGGAACTCTACAGGTAACGGCTATCCCTGCCAAATCATCATCCATACTAAACATGATTTAATATTCAAATCCAATTATTTTTAATTCTTAATTTTATACTCTTTTTTTAAAAAAAATTTTTTATTTTTGTGTGTGTGTCATCAAATCAGATCTGACTGGTATAGGAGGAGATTGCCCCTCCTTCTCCAGCAGAGCATGGTAGATTTGACCTCTGGGATTGCAGTGCTGTTTCTTGCCACAAAGCCACCAGAGCTCCCAATTTTATACTCTCTTCACTGCACCACTTTCGTTTATACCGTGAGGATTTAGGAGGAAACCAGGGTTCTGGGTCTACCAAACAACTCCATTAGGTTGAGTGCAGTAGGAACATTTTTAAGTGTCGAGTTCAGAAGAAGCCCTGGTGGTACAGTAATTAAGTATTAAGCTGTTAACTGAAAGATTAGCAGTTCGGACCCATCAGTTGCTCCACAGGGGGAAAGCCTTGGTTCCTGTAACTTGGTCTAGTAAGGATTTACAACATAGAAACTCATAAGGGGCAATTCTTTTCTGTTCTGTAGAGTTACTAAGAGTCAGAAATTACTCAGAGGTATACATTGACAACAAAGGCCCCAGAAAGTGTCCTAGTGGCCCAGGGATTAAGTTCTCAGCTGTTAATAGAAAGGTTGGCAGTTCAAACCCAGCCAGATGCTCCACAGGAGAAAAACGTGCAGTCTGCTGTTACAGGCAAGAAAATCCTAAGGGACAGTTCTAGTCTGTCATTATGAGTAAGACTATGAGTCAATATTAACTCAACAGCACTTAACAACAACCAGGGCCCCAGAGTTTTTGCTTCATGTTAACCTTGTTAAGGGCTCCATCTGAAACATGATGATATTTTGGGTATATTGTCTTATTTTGTCATTTGAGTCCCATTATGTTCTCTCTAGATGGGGGAAACTGAGGCAGGGATTAAGGAATTTACCCCAGATCACACAGCTAGTTAAGGATGAAGTGGGATTAAATCAAAATAGCCTGATCAGAGTCTGCGTTCTCAACTACTACACTACTCTGCTTTAAAAAAACCTGGAAACCAGCTTGTAGTTTCCTGGTCCAGAAACAAAATAGTAGGCCCAAGGAGCCCCTCGGGACACCCAGAGCCAGAGGTAGCCCCACTGGAAATTAGAGCAAGCTCGCTGCTTACCACTTTTTTGCAACAGCCCTGAACTGCTGTAGCATAGGATAATTGATATCCTGGAGAGGCCATCCTATCAGTTGCAGTGTTGGGATGTGGCCACCGGGAGGCAGCAAAAAGTTGGGCTCTGAGTAGGAGCTGGGGGAGGAGCCCACCTTGTAATCTTGACCTTTGTACTTCAGGCCTCACTCGCTTTGACCTGCTTGGTGACTTTGGGCGCTTCAATTGGCTGGGAAATTTTTACATCGTGTTCCTCTACAATGCAGCCTTCGCAGGTCTTACCACACTGTCTCTGGTGAAGACCTTCACTGCAGCTGTGCGGGCAGAGCTGATTCAGGCCTTTGGTGAGAGGGGTGGAGGGCATGGACGTGTGAAATGGTTGTCAGGTGGGGTGCTTTGGGAACAGGGATGATCAAGTGGGGGAAGTGCCTGTACTGTACCTATCTATAGTCATCCATTTGTGACTGGACTGTCTTATCCCTGAGGGGCAGGACCTGTCCTCTTTTTTACTGTATCCTCCTCTCTAGGACTGGACAGACTGCCGCTGACTGTCTCCGGTTTTCCTCGGGCATCTCGGAAGACCCAGAACCAGTGACCTCCAGTTGGGGGTGGGAGGGAGAAAACTGGACATTGCCATCTACTTCCCAGGCCTGGAGGGGAGCCCATGGGTGGGTAGATCTCAGGACCTGGAATCTGAGAGGGGGTTGGCAGAGGGGAGTTAAGCCATCTGCACTGTTGCAAATCTGAGCCAGAATTTGGGACCAGGCTCCCCTGCTCTCTAGACTTAACTGTGGGCCACAGTATGGGGTGGGGCTGGGTGACTGCCTTTAGTCTCTGGTCCCAAATCCGTTTACACATCATTCTGCCTCAATGCTGTTCTGGGCCAAGCCCATAGCCATGTTTACATGATTTGATGTGCAATAGGGAGGGGAGGGGGTGAGGGAAGGTCTGGGCTAGGGACAGACTTGGGAGGCAGGTTGTCTTCCTTGCTGCTGGACCAGCAGAGGCTATGCACTGTGCTACCCTGGAAGGGCTTTGGACCAACAGAGAGGCCACAAGCACAGGGAGGAAGAGGCCAGAACCATCAGCAATAAAATTGATCCAGGGTTTACTTTGTTTGAGTTTTATTTTCAAGAACCTGTCTTTGTCTGTCTACCTGCATTCTTTGGGAAACCTGTATCTGATGTTAGCTCCCCACCACACACATAAACACACCCTCAGTCTTGGCTGCACAGCTCTACCTGACAGTTGCACAGCTTCTTGGGACACCTTTCCCCTCATACTAATTGTATGTATAGTTACCATGACAGTTCTCTGGTGCACACAAAATTGTCCTGAGTGCTAAACAAAGAACTAGGTAAAGGGAGTTCTGTAAAGTATGGAATACAAGAAAATGTAGGTTCCACAAATACCTGCTGAACACTGTAAGGCAGGTGCTTCATCAAGTCTGAAGAGTCATGAAAAGCCAACTGGTGCTGAAAATTGCCAGTCTGGAGACAATTCTAATATGGTTCCATGATGGCAGTTTTCAAGAAGTACAGAAGTTGGCAGTGTCGGGATATCAGAGAAGGCTTCTTAAGGGAAGTGATTCTAAGAGATAATAGGTTGCTGGGTGAAGGGTTGGAGGCTCAAAGTCTGAGATGAATGGCTTAGGAGTACAGTTTAGGAAAAAGTACAGGGTGAGAGAAGCAATCAGTGTGTTTAAAAGATTTTTATGTTTTTGGTGCTTTCTAGCAGGTTTGTTGTGTACCAACTCATAGCTGACCCTTCAGGAGGTTTTCAGAGGCAGTTAATCACAGGGAGGAGATTGCCCATCCTGCAGAGTGGCTGGTGGCCTCTTACTTTGATTTACAGAGATTTTAAGTCTCTGGTGCCCTCCAGCAGCTTTAAATTAAAATTAATCTGGAAAGTAAACAGCTATTGTCAAGCTATATGCATGCTTGGCAAAGGCAAGAGGGGGCAAAAGCTGAAAGCCCTGAACCACAGAATAGCTAGGAAACTCTACCTGACTCGGGTTGCCAAAGCATTCCCACCTGAGCTATAAAGCAACCCAGGAGAATCCCTGGTCCTTACTCCTGTGTTTGGATTACTGTCAAGCAAGAAGAGTTGGAATGGGGGCAATTTGGAGAGGACCATAACATAAAAGGGAGATGGTGTTTGTCTCAAAAGCTGAACTAGTCTTGGGCAGAAGCTAGAACATTGACAGCAAAAGGCTGTCAACCACGGTAGGCAAGGATGGTTTGGTCAAGAAAGGTGCTTATCCAGGCATCAGAAGATAGGAGGTTAGGATTTTCTAGAAAAGTGCCAGCCTGGATTGTGGTAGTGGACACACTTCTGTATGGAAATGGACCAGCAGTGACCGCTAGAGCCCCCGCCCCAGGGGGAGGGGGCGGGACCGCCCTGGGAGAAGGGCGGGAGGCGGGGCCAGGGGCCACTTAAGGCGGAGCCAAGGTGTCCTGGCAGCGCCGGAGCCGGGCAGCAGAGTCGGGCTGGCACACCCACGACCCCCCTTCCCTGCTATGATGCCCTGTTAGTAGTAGGTCTCGGGCCCCGCGGGCATATGGGCAGAGCTAGCTGCAGCCAGGTGGGCAGAGCAAAAAGAACTCCAGGGCAACTCTGCCAGCTGCACGCACTGGAGCCCGGGGAAATGCCCAACTAACCGGCTACCTAGTGAGGACCAAAACCCTACCTTTTGGCCATAGTCGGCTGCTTCCATGGCTCTGCCTGCCAGCCTGGTGCCCCTGTGCTGCTTGGCACTTCTAGCACTACCAGCCCAGAGCTGCGGGCCAGGCCGTGGCCCGGTGGGTCGGCGCCGCTACGTGCGCAAGCAACTCGTGCCGCTGCTCTACAAGCAGTTTGTGCCTAGTATGCCCGAGCGGACCCTGGGTGCCAGTGGGCCCGCTGAGGGCAGGGTGACAAGAGGCTCGGAGCGCTTCCGGGACCTGGTACCTAACTACAACCCCGACATCATCTTCAAGGACGAGGAGAACAGTGGCGCTGATCGTCTCATGACTGAGGTAAGAAGGGTCTCTCCCCACCTGCACCAGGACACTCAACATTTCACCCTCCTGCATCAGATGCCGGGGTGTGCCAGGAGTCATCTACGGAAGACTAACCAATTCTCTGTTTCCCCCAACTCTACCTGTTGCTGGTCTGAGCAGCCAGGAGGGATTCCGACTGGGAGAGGCTGGGATGGAGAAGGGGGAGGAGGAACTAGTGAGAGTGAAGCTGGGAGAGGCAGCGGAGGGCGGGGAAAGGAGGATGGCGGCAGTCGAGACGGGAAATGGCTGAGGCGTGGACCGGGGGTCAGCCACTGAGCCAGGCAGGAAGGGCTGGGGTGAGCTGGGGGCCAGGGGGCCAGGAACTGGCTGGGTACCAGACAGAAAGCTCTACCCTTAGCCTGGGTCCTGATCCTGATTGTGGGAAAGCTCTGTGACTGAAGGGAACTGGGGAGGGGTCCATAATGTCATCAGGCCATCTACCTGAGATGAAGGTGTGCAGGAATTTTCTGTGGATGAGAGAAACATCCTAGAATTAAGGCAGCGATATTACAAGGTCTAAATGATTGCTCTCAATGAAAAAAAAAAATTAATGGGCCCACCTGAGAACGCAAAGACCCTTATGTCCCCAAATTCAGCTCAGATCAGGGATTTTCCTTGCAATTAATGTAAATTCAACTGCCATGTGTTAAGTATCTGCCGGAACTGAAGCTTAGGGTGAGGAGGGCAATACCTTGCGAGAGAAGAGCCACCTCTGACCAGTGATAGATATCAGAACTTAGAGGTCACATTCATCAACCCATTTTATCACCGAGTCCAGGAGCTGTATCCAGGAGGAAAAGCAGGAGCTGTGTCCAGGAGGAAAAGTAATTAAATAAAAATCTCACAACTAATTAGTTGCATAGCTGAAACTGGAATGCATCATTCCTGATTCCAAGTCCTATATACTTTCCATTACACCACCTAATTGTGTATGGGGTGGGAAAGTTGGGGGGTAGGGAGGGGTACGGATTTCCTCTGATTAATTGCCACAGTTTTCCAGGTTACTTTGTCAGGAAAACCTGTCCAGAGAAAGAAAGAAACCCAAAGAATTCCCTCTTGCTCTTGCCCTGAACTCTTTCTTGGTTAAGAAACTTCCTAGCCTTGGCCTTTATTCTGACTGCCACCTGCGGCAGAAGGGCAGAGCAAGGCATAGGCGCAGCAGAGACTCTAACAGGCCTGGGAACTCCCTCTGTCCAGCTTATCTCCCACAGGCTGGCTTGCAAAAGGCCTCTATTGAGTTGCCTCTGCACTGGGCTGCTGCCCCCGCAGGTCAGGGCCTCTGGTCCCCCTTAGGGAACAAAACGACGAGAAAGTGGGGTTATCGTGTTTCCTGTTTTCCCCTTCCTCCAACTCTGGAGGTGTGGAAGACTTAAGGAAAAGGGCAGGGAAGAGTGTCTGTCTAGCATTTTGGAGAAAACCAAGTTGGAGGTGACAGACTGAAGAGGGAAGAAGCAAAGCAAGCTGTCTCGGAGCGTCCTCCCACTGTGTATATGCTGTGGTGCTCCCCAAGGTCTCCAACTCCCAAAGTGAACTGCAGAGATAACAGTGGTCTCACTCCCATGGATGCAAGCTTGCAGCTTCCTCTCCTCCCACCCTGCAGGGGGTCCCTCAGATTCCTAGGGTAGCTCTCATTACTCTCAGGTGCTGCTCCCACGCCTTTCTGTGAGGGCTCTGGAACCGAGATGGAGAGATGGGGGCGCTCGGGGCTGGCAGAGTCTCCCCGGTACTCGGAAGCCTGTCCGTGCTGGGGGAGGGGGTGCGGGCCCGGGCAGGGCTGCGGGGCGCGGCTTTCTGCCCTTTCCTCTCCCTGCGCTGGGGCGGCTGAAAAGCGCCTTTGTGGCTGGAGCTGCTGAGTCCGCTTCTCCCGGCGCGTCCCCGGCCTCGGCCCAGGATTCTCGCTTGGTTAAGTCATTCCTGAGAATGGCCATTGTACTTCGTGCGGCCCCCGCCACCCAACCCTTTTTCCAATAGCCTTGTTCCCGCCCTGCTCCACCAGGGCACCTCGGGAAGGGGTGGGCACCCAGACCACGAAGAGGTTAATGCTAGGGGCCGAAAGGAGGAGGAGGAAGGAAGGAAGGAAGTGATGCCCGGTGCCAGGGAAAAGAACGAAACAAAAGATGAATCAGGAGGGAGGGCGGCTGAGGCCTGGGGCGGGGGACAGACTCAAACTGGGGCTCCTCTCGGGGACCCAGGCTGCGCAGCTCCTCCTTTACCAGCTTTCTCCCCTCTGCCTGCCCTCTCAGCCCTGGCCTAGGTTGAGCCAAGCTAGGTTAGTGGGCACCAAAAGTGGGGAAAGTAGTATAAGCACCCCCTCTCAACTACCTCCTAGACCTCCATGCTTGCTCTGCAAAGGGAAGCCCACTGGCGACTATGTAACTATATACCACACTGATACTCTATGTACTGTACTAAATAACTATATACTACAATACTCTATGTACTATGTAACTATATACTACACCGATGCTCTATATAGTTATTTAAACTACATAAAACACCGATACTAACTTCCCAGGAGGACATGGAGGGGACCCTCGGGTTAGTCCTGTCCCCCCTGAGGGAAGGGAAGGGTGACTGTCGCATTCCTTGCCAGCGTTGTAAGGAGAGAGTGAATGCTCTTGCCATCGCTGTGATGAACATGTGGCCTGGAGTGCGCCTGCGCGTGACCGAGGGCTGGGACGAGGATGGTCACCACGCTCAGGACTCGCTCCACTATGAAGGCCGTGCCCTGGACATCACCACGTCCGACCGCGACCGAAATAAGTATGGGTTGTTGGCGCGCCTGGCAGTGGAAGCCGGCTTCGACTGGGTCTACTACGAGTCCCGCAACCACGTTCACGTGTCGGTCAAAGCCGGTACAGTAGATGGCGGGTGGTGAGGTCCACCCCAAGGGGGGGGTCCCTCCGGGAGACTGAGGCTGCACAGTTCCCCTGTGACCTTAGGAGAGAAACTGGGCGTTTTTATTGTAAACCTCCCTTGCATTTCTGCTCAGTGTGGGACCCATTTTGTGAGGAAGTGCACGCTGTGCCAGAACTAATCTGTGAGGTCTCTTCTGGATTTGATTTCCTCGCTTTCAGAGCGTGTGCCAACATTCTGGAGCCCCTGGTCTTCGTCCAATGCTTCCATCCATCCTTCTTGTTTCCTGCAGATAACTCCCTGGCTGTCCGGGCGGGTGGCTGCTTTCCGGGAAATGCCACGGTGCGCCTGCGGAGCGGCGAGCGGAAGGGGCTGCGAGAACTGCATGGTGGAGACTGGGTGCTGGCGGCCGACGCGGCCGGCCGGGTGGTGCCCACGCCGGTGCTGCTGTTCCTGGACAGGGACTTGCAGCGTCGGGCCTCGTTCGTGGCTGTAGAAACTGAGCGGCCCCCGCGCAAGCTGTTGCTCACGCCCTGGCACCTGGTGTTCGCTGCTCGAGGACCAGCGCCTGCACCGGGCGACTTTGCACCAGTGTTTGCGCGCCGCTTGCGCGCTGGAGACTCCGTGCTGGCGCCCGGCGGGGACGCGCTTCGGCCGGCGCGTGTGGCCCGCGTAGCGAGGGAGGAAGCCGTGGGCGTGTTCGCACCGCTCACAGCGCACGGCACGCTGCTGGTCAACGACGTCCTGGCCTCGTGCTATGCGGTTCTGGAGAGTCACCAGTGGGCGCACCGAGCCTTTGCGCCTTTACGTCTGCTGCACGCTCTGGGGGCGCTGCTCCCCGGCGGAGCAGTCCAGCCGACGGGCATGCACTGGTATTCGCGGCTGCTCTATCGCCTGGCGGAGGAGCTGCTAGGCTGAAAGCTCCCGGTGTAGAAACTTCAAGGCTCAGGCCTGGGGCGTGCGGCTGAGATCCGGGATGCGGGCAGCAGCCGGTGATGCTGATTGGAAGGGCGGGAGGAATAGAGCGAAAGCTGAGGTAATACATAAACTCGAGCCGAGGGGAGGGGACCCCAGACCGCAGACAGACAGCACTCCTTGACCAGGACTATTTGGCCTCAGCCCAACCCCGTAGTTTTATTTTAATTTTTTATTTATAAATTGTAATATAATGTTCTATATGCTCAGCCTGGTAAGAAGAGGGACTGGGCATGGAATTAACACCGTCAGATAGAGCCAGCCAATCTGACATCTACATTTTCCTACAGGTGGGCTAATAAAGAGAAGGCTTCCAAGAGCTTATTGACAAAATACCTCCATTCCCGACGGGAAAGGGGACCAGAGCTGCGTCAACTCACCCTTCCTCACGTCAGGTCTTGGGAACCTTCCTTCTTTCAGAGGGGCCTTCCAACCGATCAGCAAGAGATGAGCTTCGCTCTTCTTTAAGCTGTAGATCCTTTCCTCCACCCAGTAAGGATCATAATTCTGTTGCCTTACCCATTGCATAGCAGTAGGTGGACTGGGCAGGGTTGTCTAGAGAGTGTAAAGTCCCATTCCTTCCTTCTTAGTTTTTAGGAGTCCCAGCAGAGGCGGGGTTACAGTTACAGGTAACTGTAGGCACTGTGTGCAAAGCATCTCCCCCACCTCCTGACTGTTAATGGGTAATCCTGAACCCTCCCTGAAGACCATGAATCAGTTTTGCCTCAGTCTTCACTCCTGGTAGGATCTGGACAGAAAGTAATTGGGCTAACTGGTGACCTGTGAGAATCTCTGGTTAATTATGGTCAAGAGAAAGAGCTTGACAGGGAACTGTGCTGATCCAGAATTCCTCATCATTCCTTTCTATCCTGAAGAGCCAAATGGACTTGGAGAGCTGGCTAGCCCCAGGTGAATATGTGTGAGAGAGAAAGAGAGAGACAGAGACAAGATTAGAGCACCCCAACATGGACATAGGTGTATCAAACCCTAGTCTCTTTCCTATGTGTAGGCCCTGTCTGCAGGTTTCCTTTCCCTTCACGTGCCCTTCCCCAGCCCTACCATCATCTGGTTCTTCCTTGCTGGCCTGGGTGCTCGGGGAACCTATGGATTCCAAAACATTAGACACTTGAAATGCTGAGTTAGGAATAGAAGGTTCGAGGAAGTTAATCTTTAGAAGAGGGATGTTGAGGGTCTGATATTGGTACTGTCCTGAGCCAACCCCTCTCTACAGCAATAGGACATTTTCACTGGGTCCCTGCTAATACACTGCCCTCTGGTGGTCTTCGGGAAAATTCTAGGTTTATTCTTATGGTTCCTTTAAGGGACCAAAATGAAACTTTGTTGGCCTAGTGGTGAGGGAGTTGCGCTGCCAACTCAAAAGTGGGTGGTCCAAATCCTTCAGCTGCTCCTTTGGAAAAGATGGATAATCTCCTCCCATGTCATTTACAGTTTCTGAAAACCCACTGGAGCATCAGTTATGATTTAGTTCACAACTTGACAGCAATCAGCTTTTGAGAGACCAAGGGAAAGTGACAATTGTAAAAGGCAAGGAGGATTTGATTAGACCTGTAACAGAGAAGCTTTCCTTGCAGAGGCAGCTCGAGATGGTTGTTGTTAAGTGCCATGGATTTGAGTACAACTCCTAGTGATCCTGTGAATAAGAGATGTAAACTCTATCCTGTCCTGTACCATTGTCATCATCTCTGACCCACTTGAGCTCTTTGCTGTAATCAGTGTGTCAAGCTATCTTGTTGAAGTTTCTGGGCTAAGCCTCTGGTGCCAGGCGCTGGTGGGGAGCCCATTTGCCCGTCTTAAAGTCTTCCAGGTGTGGCAGTGTTGCCTCTATGGTGCCTGGGTTATCTGTGGTTCCTCCAAGTAGAAGGTATAGTTGTAGCCTGTGCTGATCCAGAATTCCTCATCATCCTAGTGGCTCCTCATTTCCCTCACTCTGTGACCAGTATATGAAAGCACACTTGAGAGTTCCAGATAGTTTTTGATAAAGACAAAAGTTGGAGTGGACTAAGTTTGCCTCTGGCACTCTTCCTCCTACCATTTCTCTCAATCCAGGCCTGTTTTTCTCCATCTTTGTCTCAGAACATACCTGGCTTTCCTACTTTTTTTCTAAATCTACACTTGTCTTGATCCTAATGCTCCCATCACAGGTGATGACTACTCTGATAAAAACTCTTCTATGTGGATGAGCTTCTCATTTTTCTTTCTTTCCCAGGTAATGTATCCTAACAGTGATTTGCCCAAAACAAGATCTTTAACCATAATAATGACAGATGATTCCTAGTATCTAAGTAGGTTGGTAGGGAGATTTTTGGGTACAGAAGTTCAACAGTTTCTCTTAAATCACATCCTGTAGGCTGCTTCACAGGCCTGAGCCTCACTTCTCACCCCTATTATCATTCTTGTCTCTGTTAGGCCCCTCCTCAAACTCAATGCGGTTGAGTGGATTCTAACTCAAAATGACTTTCCATCAGGTTTCTGAGGCTTTAAATCTTAATGAAAGGAGACTGCCCATCTTTATCTTATGAAGGGGCTGATGGAGAGGCCCCTCCCTAGCAGTGCCTTAGGAAAAAGCCATGATCTTCCTCAAGCATCAAATGGCACCATCTTCATGAAACAGGTATTCCCAAGGTCATGTACTCACCTCTTTGCTGTTGTTATGTGCTATCAATTTGCCTGCAACTCATAGCAACTCCATATACCACAGCTCTGAAGCCTGCACTGTCCTGAGCTAGTCTGACTTTGACACACCTGCCTCCACTGCCCCAGTTACTGCATCAATCCATCGCATCCGGGGTCTTCCTCTCCTGTGCTGTCCCTCCACCCTTCTGAGCATGATATCCTTCTCCAAGGACTGGTCCTCCCTGGCCATATGCCCAAATCCACCAATTATCATTGGAGGCAAGGGTTCTAAGGCTCCATCTAACATATTTTGGTCATGTTGTAAGGAGGGACAGGTCCTTGGAGATGGACATTATGCTTGAGAGGGTGGAGGGACAGCACAGAAGGGGAAGGCCTCCTATGAGGTGGATTGATTCAGTGACTAGGGTAATCAGGATGGGTGTATCAGAGACGGTGTGATTGGCACAGGACAGAGCAGAGTTTAGGGATGTTATACATAGGGTCACTATGAGTTGCAAGCGACTCTACGGCACATAACAACACAGCAACATCAACAATGAGGATTAAGAAAAGAGCATGATTTGGAAATTAGATGTTATTGTTGTTGATATGCACCATTGGATTGATTCTTCTTCTGTCCATGTGATGAAGTATATCTTTGCTATATTATCCATGGAAGCCCATCACCAGGTATTTTTCACAAGGAGCCTCCAAATGTGTTTCAAATTGACAACATTTCTGCTAACAACAGAGAATTCAACAATTTGCACTACCAAAGCACCTTACAAGCCACACAGACCTGGGACAACAATGCTTCTGTGACTAGATTATAGAGGAGATCAGAGCATGTGCCCAATGTGGAATGTTGTTTTTACTGTTAGGTACTATCAAGTCAGCTACAACTCACAGCAACCCCGTGAGCAGCAGATTGAAACCTTGCTCTATCCTGCTCCAGCCTCACAGTCTCCAATATGCTAAATAAAGCCCACTGGCACTGGGTCTCTGTCACACCACCTCACTGAGGATTTTCCTCTCTTTTACTGACCTTCTACCTTTCCCAGCGTGACTTGTTTTTTCCAAGGATTGGCTCCTCCAAGTAACGTGCCCAAAGTATGTGAGACAAACTTTCACAATCCTTATTGCCAATGTGGAACTTTGCTATTGGTGGTATATGCTCTGGCGTGGGAAAAGACTCAGAGCTGATCCCCAGGCGGCCTTTCAGAGGCTGTAAATTGCACAGGAGAAGATTGCCCATCTTTCTCTCGTGAAGCAGCTGGTGGGTTAAAACCACCTGCGTTTGGTCTTGTGGCTCCTTACCCACGAGGCCACCACAGTCACTTTGAATGGTGTCTGTACTGTGTCCATTTCTCACTGTCTTTGTTGCTTTCTGTCGTCTGGTTCTCTCCTCATCACTGAAAGTATTATCAACAATTCTCGGACATTTTGGGGTTCTTTTACACCTATAATTGAGTTCATAACATTCCCTTTTCCAAAGAATTCCATGAGATAAACAGAGTTTAAATATTTTTAGAACCAAAATAGAATCTTTTTTTAAAAAAAATCTTGTTTTGAGAATTTTTAGAACATTTTGTGATAACCTTGGTGAAATCTCTCAACATACTTCAGAACTGCAGTTAAGAAGCACTGTTCTGTTGTTTGGATGACATTTTCATCACCCAGAATCCAGCTCTTCCTCCTCATTTCTTTCCCTCTTCAAGAGGATTTACTATATCTACAATTTGCTTGTTTTAGGCCCTGAAAATCACACAAGAGATTAAGAAACAGCTTCTTTGCAGAACAGTAGGTGTAAAGAATAAAATGGTTAACTAACAAAGAAACATTGTTGCCTAATCAGAATGAGTTGAACAAGCAGTACATGCCATAATGGTACAGAGAAAGCCTTGTGGAAAATAGGATGTTGAAGTATGTGTAGGTGGAAGAGACAGGAAAGGGCAATTCAGGCAAAAGGAACATTGTGAGCAAGGATTTGGAACCTGGGATGAAGATGTGCAGTTTAATTAGAGGAAAAACAGTATAAAATGGGGGAGCAGGCATAGGAGTACAAGTATTTGACTTGCACTAACTCTATAAGGAGGACAAATAATTGTTAAGAACAACAGCACAAAGCTGATTCCTATGAAGTCAGACATGCCCCTGTGCTACCACAACTTCCATCAATTTCAGGACCAACCATCCCTCTCATGGCTGACTCCATCCTATTACTGAGTTTGACAATATGTTATAATAGTCAAACAGAACTCAGAGACAATACTCATGATTATGGGGCTTTTTATTGAGTTGTTGTTTTT